TATGTTGTTTTTGCGATATAGGTTCAAGTTTTTACGTGCTTTCCAAAAATGCAGCAAATAATTTTGTGACTCTGATGTATGAATTGGAACAAAAGAGTTTGCTCAGAACGCAGGAAATCGCATTTCCGAGGTTCTAGATTTCAAAATTTCCCGGGGGAGGATACCCCCGGACCCCCCGACAAATGCGAGTTCTTATGTATGCATCAGTCAGCTCAGGAGCTGGATCCGCCCCTGTGCCCAACACGCATATTAATGGACCTATTGATTCCGTCATTACGGTTTTGATTTTGCCACTCTATTATAACAGCCCTTACACCAGTTTTGAAATATGTTAAACTTATTAAACTTGTGGTATTTATCAATGATTTAAGAAAGCAAATGAACCACTTACCACTAGTCACGTATTCACCAAAGCAGTAAATTAAGATTTACCGTTTGAAGTTGACGTTTGGCGTATAAATGTTATGCTTGAACTGTTACGAGTGTTGTAGTCGTTAAAGCCTGAAATTTATATGCCAAACGTAAGCTTCAAACGCTAAATATTAATTTAATGATTTAGGGCCTGTTCATATGGGCAGAAATTATCCCGGTTAGCGAGTAAACTTTTCGACAAGTTTACGCGGAGCGAGATCTCACCTTGTTACGAAAATAATATGAAAAGTTACATTGCGTTCATATGAGACGAAAAGTTTTCCCGTGTACCGAGATCTCGCTTGTTGACAGGCGAGATCTCGGTGACCGGGATGTTTTCCCCATATGAACAACTTTCCCGCTTAGCGGGATAACTTTTTGTCGTGTCAGCAACTTTTCAATTCAATTGATGTTCAGTGCTACGTCACAGCCGGAAACTTTTCCCGGTAAGTGGGATAATATTTCTCCATATGAACAGAACAAAAGTATTTGGCTAGTCGAAATGTTCTCTCGTTAACCGGGATAACTTTTGCCCATATGAACAGGCCCTTAGTGAATACGTGACTAGTGGTTCATGCATTTGTTTCCTTGAATCATTGTGAAATACCACAAGTTTAATAATTGTTTAATATATTTCAAAACTGGTGCAAAAGCTGTTATAATAGAGTTGTAAAATGAAAAACGTCCTTAGCGGTTTGACGTTTGCCGTATAAACGCCAATCTAAAACTCTCTAATGACTTCGCAGCGCTATAATATATTGTCCGCACCTTACAACATTTCGCAACGAAACTTCGGAATATCACTAATTTTGTGATGCTCTTTCAAGCTGTGGTGAAATGTTTGTCTAGATCAAAATTTTGTTCATTAGGGAATATGTCCATTGTTGGTGCTCTTTTATTTATGGACTCCTTGGTCCTGTATAGCTGGGTATAAAGGAGTCACACAACGACGATACATAACGATTTTAAAATCGCTCACCCGATCGAGTGATAACGAGTTGGGCGATAACGATATTTCATTTTCTTAGCAATCAGCGCATGTTTACAAGTCATCGTATCGTTATCGATTCGTTGTTTAGTATAACCTGCATGAGCTGGGCTTGAAGTGGATATTTGATGTCTGGGGTGTAAAAAACCTGTAAGAGGTCCACGTCAGTGTGGTCAGTCTAACAAATAGTCTGCATCTGACTCGTCCCCAGACAATGGTCATGTTGTAACCATAGTCTTCTGACAAATCTGGAAAAAAACCCAAAATGCTGATAGTTGGATCACGACAATTGATGCAACAGATACATGCAGACTCCACCTAACATAAACTGATAAACTTCATAAGCAAAAATCTTATACCGATAACGGAAGTGAAAGATCTTGGTATATGTTTCTCGATTCTCTCTTATATCTTACAATAAACATATTCAGGCCTCATCGTCTGCTTGTTTTTCTAAATTAGGCCAAATCAATAGGGTGAAACATTTATTTGACAAGAATAGAATAGAATAGAAACTTTATTTCACGAGGGAAAACGTATTAACCGTAAAAGTTATCTAACATACGGCCCTCGCACTATTTTGATATTTACAGGCATAAAAAGTATTAAAGATTACGACTATAAGACCCTCGCTATGATTATAGATACATTGAAGGGCTACCGTTGTATATATGTGTGTAAATAAGATTAAATGTAATACTGAAGGGCTACCGTTGTATATATGTGTGTAAATAAGATTAAATAATAAAAAAATAATAATGAGTAAAATCAATTACTGTTCATCTGTATGGTCTAATACATCAGAAAGTAATATTGACAAAATTCAGTTAATTCAAAATTACGCTGCCAGAATAATTTCGGGTGTACAGAAGTTTGATCATATATCTCCAACAATAAGTGCACTTGGATGGCTACCAATTAAAGAACACTTGTTATACAGAGATACGCTATTCATGTTTAAATGTATAAATGGCCAAGCTCCTTCATATCTCTGCATGTGATAAATTCAAACAAAGAGACCAAGTTCACGATCGTAATACAATGAAGATTTAGGTATCCCAAAGTTTCGGACTTGTACTGGACAAAGAACTTTTAAGTATAGAGGTACACAAAATTATGGAACGAACTTGATACGAACGAACTTTGACATTTGTTTTAAATTTTTGTTTTAAATTTTCAAGCAATTTCTCGAGCTCTATTTCCAAGACCTTTAGAGACGACTGGAGACGAGTCAAAATTAGAAGACAATGGCACAGCGGCCATGTTGGGTGCCAAATTTAATGAGATTCTTTTGTTGAAAGGGGACCAACATGGCCGTCGCCCCACATCATTGCAAGTCAAGAACACAACTGTACCTGAAAAATATAAGCATAACTTAGACGTTTCGAGCGAAGGCTCGGGAAAAATTAGCATGGGTCGGGAAAATTATATTTTCAGGTAGTTTCTATATACTTCTCTCAACCGTATAGATACCAAACAGTTACCTTACCTTTCAACACCAATAGCGATGTAAGTAATCAACGATAAATTGGCCAAGACATTCCTCCACTAATTTCGTATAATATTATGTACTATTTAAAATACTCATTAATAATTCATAAACCTTGTGGCAAATCATGTCAGCCATATATGTCACGTGGAGTGACTTTATATCTGATAAAACTCATTTTCATTAGTATTCTTTATATAATTGTTCATCCTAATTAGTATGATTATATAATTGTTCATCCTAATTAGTATGATTATATAATTGTTCATCCTAATTAGTATTCTTTTGCAGTCGTATTTGAAGTACTGCGCCTCGCGTTTTATATCTGATAAAACACTCCTACTCCTGTTTTAAATGGTACGTATAGAGCGTTTGCAGATGACGTCACAGCCGCCATGTTGGTGTTCCAATTCAAAAGAATTTTAATTGACTCTTTTGTCTGGAACACCAACATGGCCGCCATGGCTTTTGTTGAGTTAATTGGTCCCTGGGAAATGAGTGGGACCCAATCCATTCTGTTTAAGTGCCCTACCATGACGCAATATACACCAATATTGAAATATTCCGTTGCACATTTTTGTGCAGGTTTATATGCATTCAAAGACAATACATGATAAATTACAACAAACATTTTATTAAATACGGTTGCTACGTTGTAGCGTAATAAATACTGTAGTTCAAAATATGTAATCTTTGCACCAGAAACCTACCACTTCAAAGAGCTTCAGAACTTTTGTAAGACAAAGCAAAATGCTATAACAATTCCAAAATGCAGTGAACAACTATATAATCAACTCATTTTCTAATACACTCCTGTGTGCTAGGACTTATTTATTTTTTTCATGAATGAAATACCATTATATCGGCTCAAGAAATTAGAATGAAAAGCTCCAGATGAATATCAGCAAACCGAACATTATGAAAGGGAATTGTATAAAAATATCCGGTAAAAACTAAAATTTCACTTTCATTCGTTAAAACACTATATATACATGCATGTGCAAGATGAATTGACGCTTGTATTTGTAATTTATTATTTCATATTTTTAGTTTCAGAAAACATAAATTAGCATCTGAAGAGTGGCTCTTCAATTTTGTGACTTTACCTTCTAAAATCCAATATTTGATTTTATAAAAAGGAAAAATCTTCGTTCATTCATGTTGGTTTGTTAATCAAATGTCGAGTTGGTTTATCGTAATAAAACATGAGAAGAAATGTGTTTTAGCTTTTAAAGACTTTATTTTCGAAGTATGATTTATGGAGGAAATTGAAAAATGTGAATTGGATCACAAAAATTCAGGAAATATAATATTGAGGTATTAAATTTTCTAAGAACGATATATGGAGAAATCGAACATTAAATCTTTGGATTGCAGAACATTTAAATAGTTGCCGTATAAATTAAGTTTCTATAGCCTTTCGAAGTGATTCGCTACCATTACACATGCTATAACAACTACCAAGCCTAAAAGTTCATTCAAATTTATACGTATACGAATACAGTACGAACAAGTTAACGTCATGCTTGACAACACATAAATAAGTCCAAACAAATATACATAAGTATTTTGAATGGCAAAACTTTTTTCAAAAGTTTAAGAATTCCAAATTGATGTATATCAAAGAAATGTACAAAAAGAACGTGAATTCAATAACTCACAATGACATGCCAAGCATCGCTTGAATACGACGTTTGATGTTTTCGAATTCTTGCTTTTGCTAAAAACAATTGGAAATATTTGGCTTTTTGAACGAGCGAGTGAGCGAATTATCGCAGCCTGCGCGTTTCTTCTTTTTACCACATACATGCAGTCGAACCTCTATTAAGCGGCCACCCTCGAGAATCGGCTTTGTGGCCGCTTAATAGAGGTGGCCGCTAAATAGAAGTACGCAAATAATAGACCCTGGGCGTAGTCAAATGTCTCTTTTTAATTATGAATCACAGAATACAATAGTGATTTTATCTTTAATTCTCGGTTTCATCTACTATAACATTTTTTCACAGGCATACATTGTGCCAACAACACAAGGCCATCACATCAATCCTGCAGGCTTGCCGCTTAGTAGAGGTAAAAATTGACATAAAACATCATTTGGGACCGCTCTTTGGGTGGCCGCGGCCGCTCAATAGAGGTGGCCGTTTAATAGAGGGATAGTTTATAGTATTTGTATTACAAAAATTTCGGGACTTCGATATGCGGCCGTTTAATAGAGGGTGGCCGCTTAATGGAGGGCCGCTTAATAGAGGTTCGACTGTATTTCAAAAACAAAGAAAAAAAAATGAAAAGATTATACTTACAACTTCCTGTGCGGCTTGATCGCGGTATCGTTTTAATTCCTTCCGTAACGAGTCGAGGAAGTCCATCTGCACAATAGAAAATGTATTAGCTAGTATACAAGTTCTGGTATATTCACTTCATTCGGCCAAAAATTACACATATACCTGGGTTTCCTCCTTCCCGTCCCACCTAGCTTCAGATCACATTGCGAGTAATACCATGCATATACATGCTACCAAATAATATTCAAATTACAACAAACATACTCGTTGGGACTGTTCAGCGTCTTCAATGCTTTTAAACGTCTCAGTGAAAGCCTTTTGTGTTTTAATGATGCCTCGCAGACTAAAGAAAGTAATGACGTAATTGAATTGCTAGTAATAATAATATTAATGCTAATAATACAGTATGTACATAAATTATATATTCCTGAAAAAATTCTGAGTAAATTATGCACCTATAGATAGTGACGCAAAGTAGTATATATAACCTATTTTTATATACACTTTAGAATTAGCAATAATTTTTTAGCCCTCAACTATATTCAGTTATTCAAGGAGGCTATATAGTTCCTTATATTTTCATGAATTACCGTATATTCTTCAATTGTAACATCGATTTTTGGGGAAAAAATAAAAGGTTATTGCGATTGTTCATGAGAGAAAGGTAATTTTAATGAACGACAATCCTCTCGTAACGAGCCATGCATGCACACTTGTCACACTTTTTCAGTAATAAAAATGCCGGTCTGAAGATTGAGTGTTTTAAAATCATGTTTCGATTAACAAAAACACATTATAGTAAGTTTTCGATTTGATCATTTTCATATAATTAACATAATTAACAGAATGAAGATTAATTAGTGTGAAAAAATTAATTGGACGGACTTACTTAAATCGGATCGGAAGACTAATGATCTTAAATGTGTTGACGGGAAAACGTGATTTTAAAACACTCAATTTTTGGACAAGGTTTATTTTGTTACTTAACAAAACTGTGACACACTCACCATTTTTCTTGTTCTTTTCTTTGCTTCGCCAAAGCTTCCAGGTGATTCTTTACTTGAGTCTAAAATATATATCAGGAATTTAAAAGGCTGAATGGTTTCACACCTGTAGCGTAAACACTTAGATTGGGGCTGTGTTAATCTAGTTAGCCATTATATTATACCGAGTCATCGACCTCCGGTTCTTAAAACATGTTTGGTGTAAAAATTTGTGCAAATTTACCTAAATAATAGCTAGCCTATTTATGGCTTTGTTACACTTGCATGGTCAGCAATGATGGCTGCAGTCTGCAGAAATTATGTAACCCTGAATCATGGAGCAACTTCCATGGCTTAAGAGGTTTACTCTACCAAGAAAGTGTGCGCCTCAAAACTTAGTTAAGGATTAATGAGTCCGAGTAGAGTGACTATGGTCACAACCAACTGCAATCATGTAAAAGCATGCAGAGGTTTTGTTTCAGTTATTTGGCTCCAAAACCCCCGTCATTTGGTCTTCCCCGCGGTACAGAACAACTCACAATCATGTCATCTTCAATCTGTTGTCTTTTGCTTGTTATTTGCTGGTGGTCCTCCACATATTTATTAACACAGCTCGTGAATTCATTCATTAGAGTATGTCTACAGATATGAAATAATTTTCCACGTCAAAATGCCAGAAGTGTATGTGTATCTGTCTGTATGTTTGTCTGTCTGTGTGTTTGTCTGTCTGTGTGTTTGTCTGTCGGTGTGTTTGGCAGACTGTCAGTACGATAACTTACATGCAAGTAACAAAATTTCAAACGTATTACTGATACGAAAATTTGTAGGATTAATGGACATTTCCCAAAGACAAATTGATTAAATTCTGGTTCAATTTGGATGTTTATATACACATAAACAAATTATAGAAATATACCGTCTGGACGATTGTTTTGACCACATTTCTTCACTCTTTGCAGTGATTAATTTCATGGTTGCACTAGCTATTTGACTCACGTAATCTTGCCTTTGCTATCAAACATAAATCATAATTACAAACACATCAAGGGCCATTCCATTTAATGTACACACATGCACCGACTATGGACGAGAATTTCTGAGGGGGTTTGAAAAAGCCATTTCTGCATGAGGGGTTGTGTGCATCGGTATCCTTTGATCTTTGCGTTTTTTCTGAGGGGTAAGGCAAAAATTTCTTAATTTCTGGTGTGTGTGTGTTTGCACTTTGATCTTTTTTCTTAGGGGTTCTAATTTTATTGACCTCGTCCATGGGGGAGGGGGGGTACATTAAATGGAATGGCCCTAAACACAAACTAGTACACAACATACAAAGGAAAGCTTCAAATAAAAATTACTAACCCTTGTGCTGCAAGCAAAACACCATCAACGAATAAAGATTACCTTAATAGTCTTCTTCACTTCCTTTCCCAAATTTATGAAAGAAGTTTGCATTTCTTCACTGCAATGTACAGAGGTCGGATATCAAAATATAAAAATTAGAATGCATGCATTTCGATCGTACTACGGGACCGGTCATTATGGCCGGGGGGCGGTACCGGAGATAAATATTTCCCCTGGTAGCATTTTGCAGACCCAACCACAAGAAAGTGAAAGTCAATACTTTCCTTTACTCAATCACAGATAACAACTAGAGGGTACTCAGAGACTGCATACCTCCGCCCGCTACTCTGAAGTGAAACGCAACCTTGGAAATTCCTAAGAAATCCACTTTGCAATTCTTAAGCATAAAAGATTTTAGGCCCCCGCGAATTGAAATCAAATTGCTAATAGATCATATTACTGTTGTTGTACTGTACTTGTAAAATAAAAACTTTTTAAGTGTCATTAAATAAATGCATAAATTTTGCTTTATGCACTCGCGCATTTTGACAGTTGTGCTATTTCAAATTCCCAGGCACCTAAAATCTTTTGTCTTAAAACAATGTCTATTTCTTGGGAAATTCCGAGGTTGCGTTTTTTTATACACCCTGTACAGTATTGAAGCAATCTAATGTTATTAGAATTTGAATGGATTGGCACTTTGCTGAACGCAATAATGCGTAACTCCGTAAGCCTTAGACATTGAATTTCGGTCGCGTGAAATGCAACTAAGACAATAGATAATGAAGGCTGAAGCTTAATGAGGTTTATCATCTCATTATTGTCTTAGGCAGCGTTTATACACTGTACCGTTTTCGTAGCGTTCTCGTATTGTTCGAGAGAACTAGACTATTGTCTTGCGTTCCCTTGAGGATTAAGAACAATACGAGCACGCTACGAAATCCTGGGAACGCAAGACAATAGTCTAGTTTTCTCGAACAATACGAGAACGCTACGAAAACGGTACAGTGTAAACGCTGCCTAAGTCGCATTCGACGCGACCGAAATTCGGCGTATAAAACGTACCTAAAATATTAATGCCAGCGTGTATACAAAATTATTAAGAAATTAGAATATATTTGTTAAGCACACGAATGGCACGATTTTAGAGCAGCTTCGAGCTCCCTTATATAAGTGAGAATTACAATTGTATACAACCTAAGAAGATACCATTAATTACATTATTTGTATACCTTTATATACTCTGTACAGTACACTGCGTGCATAAATTATGCACGTCCTAATTACGCATTCAGTAAGTTTTTTTTAATTGACCGGGAAAAGCAAGACAATATTTTGTTCATTTCTCGTTCAATTTTTAACCAAATTCAACCAAATTTTAATCAGTTCTGGGAAATGCATTCAAAAAATTTCGTAAGAATCTGTTTGGTATTTCTTGAGTTATTGTGGTGACAGACAAACACATACACACATATAAACCCAGATGATTACATAACCTCCTGGCGGAGGTAATAAAAACTATGGACCCACCCCAAAATTTTATAACCTTTTTACATGTTTTATTAGTTAAGGTGTATTCTACATGAAAAATTATAACATTTTGAAATTTGGTATTTCTTGGCATTCTTCTTAGACACGGTGTAGTTGTTGTTGATGAATTTTGTGGACAAACCCATTTTTTCGTTCTTGTTATATTCCTAAAAAGTAGCCTAACCCGTAGACATTGCCATTACTTTAGATATTTCACTGATTATTTTCTACCCAACCTTTGAGTCGGTTTGTTTTCTATTTATACCCAACTTTTACATACTCAACATGGTGTTTACCCAGCCATTTTTTCTTCGGCGCCAGCCCCCCTCCATAAATAATGCATTACCAGTTCCTAAAGTTGTGCATATATGATAGCAATAGTTCTCGAAATGGAAGGGGAAATTTTGATAATAACAAATGGTTTTATAGAGTGAAACTAAACGCATTTGTAAGCCTTCAACACACCCTATCGAATCTTCATCGTCAAATGGATTCTCAATATCTTCATCATCATCATCCTCATCATCGTCATTGGCACGTTGCCTTTCCCTTGATACTAAATAAAACGTAGATAAAAAAATTCGGGTTTTGTTAAAAGGCCTCAAAACTTCAACCTTTACATTATACAAGCCAAAGGATTGATGATTCCAGCTATATACTAAATTTTGATCTCGCCAAGAAGAAGAACTATAATCCATCCCCAGTTAGAATGAGCATGTTAAAAATAGTAAAATTGCAGAATAAAAAATACGGAAAATAAAGTCCTGGGAAATTTGCAAATTTTTCATTAATTTGTATTACGCGCGGGAAAATGCACCACTTTCGTTGTAAATAATTGCAAACAAATAAGAAATTATTCAATAGTTTCTTATTAAGGAAAATATATTCTTTATACTCTATTTGCAGCTCATACTATTTTGTGCGCTTGTTTCTTATATGCAGGCTCCTATTGGGTATACATTTATATACAAATCCTTACCTTTCTGTCTCTTCCTAGGTGCGGAATGGTCAGAAGATTGGAACAACTTCCTTGGTTGAATAGGCATAGACTGGTTATCGACTGGCGTCTTAAATGACTCATTTACATAGTCCTGATCATCCATGCCTTTAATAAGTTCAGTAATGCTGTCCGGGTACTCGAAATCATCGTCCTTCGCAGAGCCTTTATTGCGCTTTTGCATCTTCGATTCTATCATAGACGAGCCCGAAACATTGCAAAGTTATTAAAAAAACATTATTACACATAGTTAACTTAAAGTGGAAGTCAAGTCTGCAATGTAAACAAACGGTTTGTTTACATTTTGAACTGCTGTATTTTTTAAAATATTCAGACGAATATCTAACACTATTTTGGTTCGCTATGCTTCTAAATGAATATGAAATAGCGATTACAGTATGTTCAGACAAATTCGAAACATTCGAAATTTGGGCAATGTTTACATTAGAGGGTCCTCACATTGTTATGAGCAGAACCGATGCGCAGAACGGACTTGACTTGCACCTTAAATATATGAGGAGTTCAGTAGTGGTTAATGCAATGGCACCACAGGTATCTTCGCCGGATATTCTGTTTCCTCCAGAAGTAACAATATCGATAGCTATAGTTCTTACAACAATCTAGAGATGCTGTTACAGCATCTCTAGGAAGAAAGTTTAAAATTGATATAGAGCTTCAAGTAATCAAGCATAACACTGGACCATTATGGGACGGCCCTTACTGAACCTATTGGAAGATTAGGTTTATAATTATAGACAATAAGCATAATCTATTTCACCTGACTTAAACCCAGTTTCCCTTTCACGGCTCCCCTTTCTTTTTCTGCTTCCCTGATGGAAAATAAGTTCAAAGATATATTTACTATATATAATTTTATCATCTACCACTTTCAAAATGTTATAATTTTATCATCCACTACTTACATAATTACAAATTTGAAACTATAGTAACAATGGCAGGAATACAATATACTTGGAAATACTTAAACAGCAATCAGTATTGTTCAATTATAAAGATTTGATCAATACCTGATTGATCGAAGCTGGTTGGGAATGGGAAAATAAATTGCAGTCTTCTTCACCAGATTCGTATTCTTCCTGTATAGAAAAAGAAAGTTCTCTGGCCATATTTGCTATGGCCCACTTGGGTGCCAGAACTTTCCCATTGACGGGTACAACAGTCTGGCATTAGACATAATAAAATAACAAAGCAGTGCGCATCAAAGGGCATGAGTTAATCTTACTCCATATTTTACCTGTATCCTGGACGTGCGTTTATCTAAAAAGGAAGAAATAAATAATTAAAATTAGAGCCAAACTGTTTATCCATCAAACAAAACGATAACCTTTCCGACCCTTGTACTTTTCCTCCGAACTTTCCAATCTCTTGCTGGACTCGCTTATTTATAGCTAACGAATTTAATCTCGACGTTTACTTTACTAGTAAGAGTTTTCAGCTGATCAAAGTCATGCACTAGCTTACCATCATTACTATGATATCCTCGACGAGGAGTGTGACCAGTTGACTGCACATCAAGGCATCCAAAGCGTCGTGATTTTCGTGAAACTGTACCGCCTGGTGTTTTGTCTTGTACATCACCCTTCGCAGAGCTAGGCGTTCTTTTCTTGCTTGAAGAGCTCAAGGTTTTATCAAAGAATCCTACAGTTAAACAATACAAAATATAGGTATATAAAGTTTAATTAGGAAAGCATACAGTACAAACAAACAAACAAACAAACAAACAAACAAACAAACAAACAAACAAACAAACAAACAAACAAACAAACAAACAAACAAACAAACAAACAAACAAACAAACAAACAAACAAACAAACAAACAAACAAACAAACAAACAAACATGCATTATACATATTCTGAGTTAGAATTTATCTCTTCTTTGATGCTTAGTGAATCCACACAACCAATACTTTGATAGAACTTAAATATCAGTTCTAAACACGTTCAGACCTTGAATTTTGTATGAACCAGGAGTGACAAATCGCTTTCCTATAGTTTCTCTAAGGAGAGCGATGAGAAGTGATATACATGTACAGACTTGATCATGAAAAATATGACATCAGAGAGGAAATAATGGTTCACAGAGGTAAGTATAGAAAGTCTCAGAGTTTTATAGGAAACGTTTCGGGCAGGAACGGACGAATTCCACAAATTGGCATCGATCGGAACCCTGGAGGTGCGCTGGAAACGCGCTCTCTGGAACAAAGTCCAGATCAAACGAAGAAGCATAAAGGCTAGTTTCCACTCAGGAAAAATTATCCGTGGATTGGAAAGGACAAGAAAATTTTTCTTTGTCTTGTGAGCTCTGGGTTGGAACTAATGAATTTAACACAAAGAAAAATTTTCTTGTCCGTTCCAATCCACGGATAAATTTTCGAGTGGAAACTAGTCTTAAGAGTACATGTATACCTTGAAAATGCATGTGCAGCTTGAAATGTCTCCCGTGACAATGGCGGTCAACTCTTATCAACTCTTATTTGATCAGTGCTTGAGGGACCGAGCTGGAGCATGGACCTCCCAAATTCAATTAGGTCTGCACATGCACGCATACCAATAGATAAAACACGTACCCGAATCAGTGGAGCGAGACAGTTTCGCCTGTGGTGTGCTGGCTTCAAACTTTGATGGCTCGTGAGGATGATACAAATGATCTTCTCTTAGTGGACTTTCCCTTCTTTTGCTACTTTTCACAGTTTTCTAGTAAAAAAAAAACTCATTGAAAACCTCATCGGAATCAAATTTTCACTTATTATCAAACATAAAACTAATATAGTTCTATAAAACATAGAACTAATAATCCTACCAAACATGGGTTTTAAAAATTTCTTTTGCTACTGCGGTTCCTCCTGAAATAACACTTGACAAGTCATGCAGGGACGACTCGAATTAATTAAGGCCTGTTTACACTTGCAATTTTTGGTGCGATGTTCTTCTTCTGATGGATGTGAACGAGTGGATAAGTTATGAATGTTCAGATGAGGTACTTGTACTCAGAACATTCGTAATTCATCTACTCGTTCACATCCATCAGGAGAAAATCGCACTAGAAATCGGAGCAGAAATCGCAAGTGTAAACTGGCCTTTACTGTTTGGACACAGTTGCCACAGCTGCTGTCCAGTATATATGAATACGCTTCTTGTGGTTTAGCACTCATGCAATGGACCATTCACCAACTAACCAAAATTTTGAACTCAACAAGTCTAGACAAAAATTTCATCACAGCTTGAAAGAGCATCACAAAATTAGTAATATTCCAAAGTTTCGTTGCGAAATGTTGTAAAATGCGGATAATAAACCTTGCGAACTCTGCAATTTTCAGTCATTTTAGATTACAAACGATTACAAAGATGCGTAATCTAAAATGACTGAAAATTGCAAACTTCGCAAGGCTATATTATCCGCATTTTACAACATTTTGCAACGGAACTTTGGAATATTACTAATTTTGTGATGCTCTTTCAAGCTGTGATGAAATTTTTGTTTAGGCTAGTTAAGATCAAAATTTTGGAAAAGTAGTAACCATTTCCCGTTTGTAATCTAAAATGACTGAAAATTGCAAATTTCGCAAGGCCATATTATCCGCATTTTACAACATTTCGCAACGAAACTTTGGAATATTACTAATTTTGTGATGCTCTTTCAAGCTATGATGGAATTTTGTCTAGACTTCAAAATTTTGATTAATTGGGGAATGGTCCATTACTCCCTTTATTATATAGAGAATAATACATGGGTGCGCGGAAATACCAGACATTTCTTATACAGGCGTACTGAACAGGGATGGATCCAGCATGATCTGGTGGTGGTGGGGTGCTCTGCCAGCTCTGGTGCAGAGTTGTGCCGGTCATGTGTGCCGCCCGCCCATCAACTTGCTTCACTGCTGCAAAGTCTTGCTTGACTACTGTATTTGAATTGTAATTGTTGTTCACAGTTCGCTTATCATCATGATATCACTCAAATTACTGCATCTCATTTTGCCTCTAATAATTTTTTGCTTTATCGTGAAAAATAGCACCCCTCCCCCTGGCCAGGGTTAGGGGGGGTGCACCCCCCGCACCCCTCCCCCCCCCCAGTAAATCCATCCCTGGTACTGAAGGTAATCGAATAACCATGAGTAAACGAACAACAGTATAAGACTAATCTAACTTAGTATAAACCTACTAGTAGGCACATTTCGTGCCTTCTGATTGGCTACGCTACTAGTAGGCTATTAGTGATAGCCTACTAATAGAAAATTCAAAATGGCGGAAAATTCGCGTTTTGCACTTTTGCCGAAGTGTCTGATGATTTTTTGGACGACTTGTTGAACAATTCTGTACTAAAAAACCCCGAAAAAGCAACAAAAATATGGAATGGCAATTTTTAAGGGTAAGAAAATAGACAAAATAACATACACTCAATGAAATTTTAAAATTAAAACTGAATTTTGTAAAACATTTTACGCGAACAAAAACTAAAATATTTGTTTACCTTTAATGGTTTTACAATGTTTTTTGTGTATTTTTGTATTGTGTTTGCAGCCTAGTTGTAAATTAATGTTAAAGTTTATACTAAAACAATTAGACAACTCGGCCTCGTTGTCTATGAGCAAATAGTCAACTCGGCTTCTCCTCGTTGACTATTCGCTCATAGACAACTCGGCCTCGTTGTCTAATTGTTAAATAGCCTGCCAATATATGATGGCCTGGAAACTGGATAGAAATCATGTGGTGTAGACAGGTCTTTAGGTCGAGAGCTTAAAATCTCACTGCATGCTAAATTACTCCTGTTTATACTGCTACCTAACATACAACATGTGTATGTTAAGTGCATGTTTTTACCTTATTCTTCGATATTGTTTCCGATTGTTTTCGTGAAGTAGAGCTCTTGTTGGTCTTGGTAGGTAGGTCCACACAATCGTCCGAATCTTCAATAATTCTCTGTGGAAAATGAAATTCAAAGTAAAGAACAAGCAAGAACTAAAAGTAATTCATTATATCAATTAATTTGTATATCAATAGATCACATATATGGCCCTTCAGTAAGCACTAAATAGATCATATACAGTAGATGGCCTGCATCAGATGCTATAGTCAAGACATAGTAGAGTTCATTTCCATCCGCTGTTGTCCAATCTAAATTTTACAACGCTGTGTGTAGGTAGGGATGCACTGGATATCATATGTTCCTCACAGCAACCCCAGCGCTGTTTTTGTTGCAAGGTCCTGTTGCTGTGAGGAGAATTGAACAAACACTTTATAATGTTCATCATGGCTGTAGGGTAGCTGAGATAATCTTGGAATCTGGTCGGATATTACAACCAGTTTGGGCCTTGTTATGGGTATTCTCCCCAAAACACTGATGTAATTCTTTGTGTGAAGATGCACCCTACTTCAGTTGACAACAATGCCCCGCCCGTAACAAGCCTCGCCCGTTTCACGAGATCCAATGACATCCATCACTAACTACATACCTCAAAATTCTTTTTAAAAGCATCCAGAATCAAAGCAGTACCAGAGGACAGATCACCTTCTCCATCCTTGTGTTCCTTTACATATTTCCTATCACGAGGAATTCGTTTTTTGGCAGGTCTTGGAGACATCTCTTCCAATTCATCAGCGCTTTCATCCGCATAAACATCATCTTCTTCTAAAATATCACCTCTTCCCGCTTCCTGTTTTTCGCCCGGAAGTCGGGCAGTATTGTCAGAAGCACTTTAAAAGATTCAAAAGATTGTCAGTTAGAATGCAAATTAACTAAACTGTGAAACTGCCATTATTAGTATAGGTAGGAACACATTGCCTAAATATACTTATTTACCAATTTTAGGGGCAGTGACACTCCCGTACTCCCACTCATACACTAAACGTCCATTATCATGCATATGATCCTAATCATCTTGTTTTTTTAACGATTACCTTCTGGTTCTCTTAGCTGTGTTCCTCTTGGTTTGTTTCGGCTCCAGAAGACTATCTCCATTTCCATCATCAAAAATCTCGTCAAGTTCTACGATTTCCTCGCCAGTGCTCTTTTGTTTTCCACGTGCTCTGTCGGTATTTGTATCCCTCGCTGATGTCTGAGCTGGATTTTCATGATTGGAATTAGCTCTTGGCTTTGTCCCTCTTTGACTTCTACTGGTATCAACCTGGTTCTTATTTTCTTTCGCCCCTATCCACAAATCCCCATCTTCGTCATCTCGCCCAAAGACATGATTAAGAAGCATTTTGCTTTCCTCGTCCATGAGACTGTTTTGTATTCCAGGTGGAACAAGTCTGTCTAAACTTGTATCTCTCTTTGATTTCTTTGTCAGATTCTCTGACTCGTCATTAGTCTTTCTCGAACTTTCCTTGTCTTCGCCTTCATGGTTTTCCATAGCTATAAACATAGAAATCACGATATATGAAGCGGTTGGTGGTTTGATGTCGCCTCAGTTAGCTCAAGCCTTAGCTGGTGCGTATGTAATATACCGCGTTATGCCTTCACCTTGCAGCATTCGAGCTCAACATCGTTCATTTCATTGACTTACGCCCGTATTCTAAAAGCTCACTCAAACTCACACCCAATGAATGGAGTTTAATCTGAGGTTCTCTCGAGTGTCATTGCTGGTTTTGAATAGCTGGAGGGTTAGTGTCGTACCTCACAATGTGACTACTCACCCTCCAGGTATTCAAAAACAGCATTGACACTCAAGAGAAGCTCAGATTGAACCTCCACTCATTGAGTGTGAGTGTGAGTGAGCTTTTAGAATACAGGCGTTAGACTAACATGAACAAAAATTGCTTCAAGTTAGGCAATGTTTGCCTAAAAGTAAAACTGTCTAATGCAACCTGCTTACAACTTGAGTTGTACTGTGTAAATCAAGCGCACAACTCGCTTAATACGTTGTCGGTATCGGTATACCGAAAAAATTATACCGATATTATCGGTATACCGGTTTTCCTTTGATAATTATAAAGGAAAATTCTTTAATGGAAGTTTGAAGGAAATTTTGAGTAATTCTAAAAGGGAAAACGATAATTTCGAAGCTGTTTCGAACGACATGCACGTACTCAGTGTAAAATCTCACTGAAGTGGAAATTCTAAATCATTGCAGTTGAAAGTTCTTTGAATTGCCATTCAGTAGTAAAATAAAGGTTATGGTTTCGCCATATAGTTGGTAAATTTAACACGGTATACCAAAAAATTTCGGTATACCGAAATTTTGGTATGGTTGAATATCCGGTATCGATATACCGATATTGATTTAATACCGATATTTTCGGCATATCGGTATACCGAACAGTCCTAGTAGGTAGGTGCCGGAGTCGTGTGCTTGACTTAGATAGTACAACTCAAGTTGTAAGTAAGTTGTATAACTGAGCAGGTTGCATGCGACTGTTTTAGGCAACAGTTGCATACTCTAAATCGTAATTGCCATTGACTGAACTTATATAACAGCAAATTTAGTCACTAAATTGCGGATTGATACGAGATTGATAGGGATTCAACTAACTAAAAATTCAAGTAAAACATCGACATTTCGAGCGAAGGCCCTTCGACGTCGGACTGACATGCAGACTGTTCTGACTTCTATTTATCGACTTTTAAGAAAATATTTCATTGAATTCCTCACTGCCACTGGATAATAAAATACATTATTAAGGTATATTGGCTGATATACTTAAGTCTTTAAATGATTATATATAGTATACATGTTGCAAGCTTGGATATATATTAAGCGAAGATTGTAGTTCTCAAACTTTCAGGAAATACTAAACTTCCCAAGCTATATACAACAGTGCTTGGACATGGTAAACAACCGGGTAATTAAGAAACACGCGGGTTCGATTCCCGTTGGGGAGTTCAGATATTTTCTGCATGAACATGCACAAACAACTTGAGAAGTGCTATTTCTACTTAAATATATGCTCGTTTAGTCGATATACAAACACAGACACTTGTAATGCATGAAAGCATACATGTATTCCGAAGGTTTGAATTAATTCGGGGCCGGTAGCTCTGTCTCATTGAGAGGCAAACTTGTGTACAAAACATCGTTAAACTAATTCAGTCGGGAAGGGGAAGAGTTTTATACATTAAATCATTATACAATCTCTGCTTACCTCTGAAACTCGTGTCTATAACGATAGTCGATATTTTGACCAATGTTTTGCCGTTCATTTAGCAATGTCTAATGAGAAACTAAATTCATGCGCTTTCTTAAGTTCTGACAGTTTCGCTCACTGGTTCACATGCAAATATAAGCGCGTATAGATATTTGCTGGCTATACTGTACATGCATCACATGGGAATTGCCATGTTTCGTTCTATTTGCTGTTTTGCATAATGTCATTATAATACAAGCCAATTAAAACAATAAGCGACTGGGTTGCATGCAGAACAGCACCAGTGGGATTTTCAAAACAATACGGACAATAAACATTCCGATCTATGCATGCATGACTGATCAAAAATGAACATGTTAAGCCGGTTACAGACGAGCAAGTTTTCTATGACAAGTTTTTATCTGACAAGTTTTATTTGCTCGTCTGTACACGCAACTTTGACAAGTTTTTCTATGACAAGTGCACTTTGTTCATGCTTAGCATGCTAGCTTTTGAACAAGTAGAAAAATTGTCAAAGTACAAATTTTGTTTGTCTGTATATGACTATGGGTCAACAAAGAAAACTTGTCAAAGTAATCTTAGCATTTGATGCGATTGACCAGCTGGCTACTAATAAATTGTCAAAGTAAACTTGTTGACACGTTCACACCAGTAAATAAACTTGTCATATCACATATGAAAACTTGTCATATAAAATTTGTTGCATATACACACACGTGCACTTGGCAAATAAAACTTGTCAAATAAAAACTTGTCATAGAAAACTTGCTCGTCTGTAACCGGCTTTAGGCCTGGTTTATAGTCCAATTTTGGTCCAACTGAGTTAAATTTCTTAAGGGACTAATTTGTAAGACCCGTTTTAGGGGCTGTTTATATGGTCCCGCTTACCTGGGATTCAATGAAGTGTGACGTATTTTGAGCAATTGAAATAAGTTGCACTTCATGATAACAAAATTGCTTGTTACAAACTGCATGAAATTCCATGTTTTAGACAAAAAGAATGTTGTTGAACGTTATTGATCGTCTTCTTCCACTACATAACTTCTAGCACGTTTCTAATTTCGTTTCAACAATCATTTAAAGTTATCTAACTTTTTTGTTTAGGGCTGAAACACGAATTTCAATTGCTCAAAATACGTCACACTTCATTGAATCCAGAACGCGTCGAATGTAAAACCTGATAAACCTCATTAAGCTTCATTATCTATTGTTTGAATTGCATTCGACGCGACCAAAATTCGACGTATCCATGCACACTACCTTTTTTGTCCCGTTCTTTATCAATAATTTCTTTGTCTTTGGTCCTCCTAACACCATTTTTTTCAACATGATCTTCTGTATTCTTCTTAACATTCTCTTCAAACCCAGCAGGTTTGTCATCACGAATTGTTTTGAGCAGATTTGACAACGAATCACCATCAAGCGACTCTTGATCTGGTTCGGCAGTAACATTAGCTAGGACCTAGAATTGTTAGTGTAGCTCTTAAAGGGCATTGGCAACAAAAAAAAGTTTAGTTCATTTGAAAGAACTCTTAAAACTATATATTAAACTCTATTACAGATTGTTTATATCATGCTTAATTTTCAAAATATTTCGACTGAAGAAAGCGAGGTGTTCGCCATCTTGGATTATTGAGGATATACATGTTACGTCAAGAGAGGGGTCTCGTCAAGAGAGGAGTATAAGCGATCAATATGGCTCCAAAATTTCGTTTCTGGTTGCTGTCTGAAATTTAGAAATTATTAAAAACATTTCAAACAATTTTAGATTGTTACTCGGTCATTTTAGAGCAGTTTTAAATGGTTAACCCAACTCCTGACGTCATTATTAGATTAATTTCGGACTAAATATTTCGAGAACTAAGCAAGATATGACAAATCGGTAATAGAATGTAATATATAATTTTAAGAGTCCTTTTGAATGAGACAAACTATTTTTTTTTTATTTCCTATGTCCTTCAAGGCTACATGGATTACACTATCCAAGTTTCAGGTTAGTGCAAGGGCTTTCAGAATTATTCTGAGTAGGTGGCTGGGTTAATAAAGTAGGCGGCTGTGGTCCAAAATGATTTGTGGATATTTATTAGATAGCAACACATGCTGCATGGGCTCTGTGACCAAATTATAATTCTTCAACAAGATATGTCTTCAAGATTTAAAATGGCAAATAATTATATCAGTTTTACGAAATAGTCTGTCGTTTCAAAAAAAAACCCAAGCTATAAAGTAGACTAGGTTGGGGAAAAATAATTTTGTTTCAAAGCTTACAGTGGAGGAAGGAGGGCAACAAATTGATATTTCAAGTACTAAACAAAGACTAATGATGGAACAACTTGTAACAAGTCTGTTAAGTCAACATTGTCAATAAGGCGTAAAAAAATACCTGTGGTTCCGGTTCCCGACCGACCCTATTTTTTTCTGCAGACCCTATTATTTTTTCAACGCGATTGACCGTGCGACCCTATTTTCTCCGGGTGGTTGCGGGCTGCTGCCAAAATGGCGTCTGCTGTCACACTAATTATTGAAAAAAAACATGAAAAAAATATTCAAAAAAAAAATTATTTCCGAGCTACCGACCCTAATTTTTTCGCGATATGAAACCGGAACCACAGGTATTTTTTTTACGCCTAAGGGGTGTCTCTTTTCTGGAAGTTTAGACAGATTCAAGGGTCGTGAGATACATGGATAAACATAATGACTGCTAACGGTTTTGTTACCTGCTGATCATCAAAACGTAACGTCTGTGAACTGTCAATACCATCGGCTGGTGGATCCAAAACGTCTCCAGCTTCTACGGGAGTTGTTCCTTCTCCATCTATAAATAATTGGTGTATATGGTATATACAGTAATAGATGCGTTGATCGTTACTCTATTTTTACGACATTATACGACCATATATGGAAACCAGGCTTAAGCAAGTTGCATCGGACAGCTTTAGGAAAAAGTAGTAAAAAGCTTCACTTCAACTTTTCCACAATAGAACTTGTCGGATATGTTGTCATTAGATGAATTGCAAATTAGTTTCCTAGCTGTGGTTGTTTGCCACAAAAATCCATCTGATGGCATCATATCTCGAATCTGGAAATTATGACAGGGAAAAAGTTGATCAAGATGAGGTTTTTACCATGAAGATATATTATTCCATTTCTTCTTAAAATGACCCAAATATTATACATATAGCAAAAATATATTTGGGATTAATGCAGCATGCACTTTAATGAAACTCTAATGTTGTAAGAAAAACCAAGAGGCTAATTAACTTTCTTGATATATATCTATACAAACCACAAGAATAAACATGAACCTTTTTCGTTTTCCTTGTTTTGCTCATTTTCTTCAACCTTTTTGAAAGCGCCTTGCTCAAGATTCCTTCGTGTCTTAGATTTTTCTTTCCAATCATTCAGAATTTCCGTCGTACTCTGCTCGTCAGGTTCAGAATCTCTTCTTCTGTTGAGGATATCACTTTCTGAATCATGCTTTCTAAGTTCACGTTCACGATGTTTTCGCTGGACTTCAAGTGCTATGTCTGAGAATGATTTCTCGTTTTCCTTCTAAATGATGGATAATTATACTCACAGATACTGTACTATCCTTGCTGCGCAATTTATTCACTAACTCATTATGTTGCATTACGCTATAATGCGCCCTACTTTGTTATTTTACTCTGTGAATTTTACTCGTCAGGAGGAGATTGCTGGCGCTCAATGAGCTAATGACAGTTAATCGGTTATAATTAGCTAATATTTTCTTGTTCACACAGTTTAATAGCTGCCTTTCTAAATGCATACAGTCATCCGTTTGAAAAACATGAAATTGTCAATTAAAGTACTATTGAAATAAAATTATTTAAATTGACGCCATATTTACAGCAGTGTAGGCAAAACATCGACCATCTCTTTGGCGTTAGCCTGCGAGCAAGCTCTCCTGCGCCTGCATATTAAATGATATATATAATTATGTCCGCCACCGCATACTGATTGAATATACTTACCATTTCGGGCATTTCCTCATCGTCATTATAGGACAATAATTTATCTGCCTTGTTCCCTTTTTTCTCTCTTTTTTGTTGGAGTTCTGCTTGTTTCTTCAACTGATAAGTTCTTAACGCTGGACGAAGTAATTTTTTACCTTGAGGACTTCTTTTGGCAGGAGGACTCTGTAAAAGATAAACGTAGATTTATAATGATGCACAGTATTTTTGGCTTCAATAATAACATCATATACCGGGTGCTTGGCGCAAAAAATGTACGGGGGTACATTGACTTATTGTAACTGAAAACTAAATAAACAAATAGGAAAAACTCTTATTCAAATAAAGTGTGTTGAACGCAGTAATGTCTAACTTAAATTTTGATGTATGCCTTAAACATTTCTATAAAATATTAGCCAAGATATAGACGTTTAATTTAAACTCAGGGTAAAGCGCAACACTCTCCCCTTGACGAGTAAAATTATCTGGCCTTTGACAGAGTAAACGGACAAGAATGTCACGCGCTATTAACTGACGATACTATAGCCTTAGTTTAACATGTCAGCATCACTCGTAGATTTCTCCCGGCCGCATTGGAGATTCCAGTCGATCTGTAAAGACATAATTTCACTTACAGTTTTGAATTCATAAGGATTTTCAAACTTCTTCCGTTTGAATTTGTAATCCGTTCTATAATTTTCCCGATAAACAGTACTGATTAAAGACAATCGAGACTTCGAGACATTTGACGCATTTTCCAGAGCTTTCTTCCTTTCCGTCCTCCGTTCAAGGTCAGAGTAATCCATCATCCAATCCTCGGTGTTATAACCCTAGAATATGAAGAATAAATGTTATGAGTTTATAGGAACCAGATATAATATATCAAATATGTATCACTACCCGGTTTAACCCATGAATGTAATAACCGAACAAGTTATATTCTACGATTCGGAACTTGTCTCGCAATGTTAAGAAGAACGATTTCAGTATTGCATTGCATGAAAGGCTGTTTACACCAAGCAGTATGTTCCATGCAACTTGCAATTGACAGTCAAGTTGTATAAACATTGCGAGACTAGTTCCAAGAGGGATGTTATGCACAGTGCAATGCTTTGAAAACCAATATTCGTATTTATTTTTTTTAATTGGGAAAGAAAGGTATCCAGGTGTTATGCTACACACGGCTGTGTTGTTCATCCGATTATCGTGAAGAATAATCGATTGCCAAAAAACACAAAAAATATATTCGATTAATCAGGAGCAGTTCTGAGCCTTATACATGTACTTGTACGTTCTGGAAGCTAGCTTTGGACGACGGTATAGCTATATCGTCCACAAGAATATCTCTTTGCTACAAGATCATTGGTTACAGGACTACTGTCTTGCCTTGTCTTACTACTGGCTGGAGCATCGAAAGGTTTGATCGTGGATGCAATTCGATTGGACTTTGCGTCAATCTACTAAAAATCCAGAGTCTCGGGCGAAAACACGACAGCACCAGAAAGTGTTTCACAGAATCTCAAACAAAATTACTTACACTGCCAAGCTTATTCCTTTTATCAAGATCACTCACACTGCGAGAACTTGTGATTGCTTTTGAAGCTTTACTGCCAGGCTCTGCGCTCTTCGCCCTAGCTTTGCTTGTCTGTTTTGTAATTGTAATATCGGACTCCGAGGTGGAAACACTTGAACCAACTGAAGCATTTTTCTTCGCTGCTGCCCTTGTTCTAATTTGTCGAGTCTGAAAATTAAAGAACCATATACTACCTAAGGAACAAAAAGATGTGACCACCATCATTTTACGGTGCTTTTTCAGACAAGACTGGATTTTGGTGGAAATAGTGGGGGAGGTGGAAAAAATGTAGGGTATGTGCAGCAGCCTAGCTCACGACCCCCATGGACAGGTACGGCATAGAACGGGCCAAAGACAACGACGTGACGTATGCATGTAATGTACATATGTATCAGTGTATTAATAAACAAAGTTTCTTTCAAAATATTGCATTAGAATGACTCTTGACACAGCGATAAATTGGCTATCACTGTTTCAATTTTACAGAAAAACTTTCTTTCGAAGTGTAGACGACAACAACTATAATGCTTTGATAAATGTATGGATAATCAATTCTTGCGATAATGCGTGTTATAATTAATTCATTTTATTTCGGATATCGAAGTCCGATCCGATCCGACTATGAAACAACTTTATGATCCGATCCGATCCAAAATAAATATTTTGGTTCCGAAATCCGAACGAATCGGATCGGCTTTGCACACCTCTACTACGTATATATAATTATACTCAGTCACTAAACGTCTCTACTCAGTCAGGATTTCGTTGAATAACTGTATGCAACAACACATATCTAAATTGCATCGCCCATATGGCGGTTTATTTTGCAACGATTCTTATTCAAAACGTACCTTTGCCCCTGCTTTAGCTTTCACAGGCTTAGTTGTTTTCTTTTTATATGGTGTGCTACTTTCTCCTTTATCCTGTTCAACCCCACGTTCCTTTCTCTGAAACAAGGAGAAAAATTACTTAAAAAAGAGTAGTATGTATTTTTATGACCACTTTTTTTATTATCAGATATACAACAAGTTGTATGTCAAACGGGGTGGAAAATTATCGGAACACGGAACCATTTACCGTAAATTGCTAGGATGGAGGGAGAAAGAACAGAATATTAAATTCATGAAATATACTTGAAGAAAAATAAAGAAAGAAAACAAGCAAAATCCTCAGGGGTAAGAAAATTTTACTGTGGAATCTTTCAGGGGTTGGATATTTTGAATGAGGTTCCCTCAAGGCCTTTCAAGTGTAAAAATGTCTTTAGGAGCAAATACCGATTTCTTCAGAGGGTAAATACTGTTCACATTCTCTTTTATGAGGAATTTTTCAGAGTAGTAGTAAAACCCTTATCCTCGACAGGGCCGCAGAGAGGGGGGCAGGGGGGGGGGGCAAATTGCCCCGGGCCCCGAGTTGCTGGGGCCCTTGAAAAATTTTTGTTGGGCCCCAGCCTTTTTTGTGTGTTAAATATTTCCGCGCAAAGGACAAGATATCTGTTCTCTTGGGCTAAGTACCGAATTTTGGCATAAAAAATGAGATAAAGTCCCTCGAAAGCAGTTGCAACGTACTCGTCCGGAAAAATTTTGTACTCCGGAAAAATTTTTTTACCCCTAAAATGCGGGGGGTTGTTGTCCGGAAAAAAAATTTTCCGGGAAAAATTTTTTAGATAGGGGCCCCTAAAAAAAATTTGGCCCGGGCCCCCGCCAACCTCTCGGCGGCCCTGATCCTCGATAAGAGGGAGGTACGTATTTTAAAGTGCGACTACGAAATGTAATATCTTTATAATAAAAAATTCCATCTTGATCAAGTTTTTCACTGCCAAAGTTTGCGCATATGATGTCATCAGGTGAATTGCAAATTAGTTTTCCTTTGCTTTTTGTACCAAAAATTCATCTAATGACATCATATCCGGAAACTTTGACAGTGAAAAAGTTGATCAAGATGAGTGTTTTTACTATAAAGAGATATTACATTTCTTCTTAGAATGACCCAAATATTACACATACCAAAAATTTTATTTGGGGTTAGTCGCACTTTAAATAGAATAGCCCATTCTCTCATGCGAATTCATGAAGTGTCCTTACTTTTGATATCGTTTTCTCACTAACACTTGCTTTTGTAAACGGTCCTGAGCTACTATCTCTATCAACGTCAACATTCACATCCTTTGCACCGTCATCAACTCCACTCTTCTTAGCAATAACACTTAGAGTGTCTTCATCCAAATCTTTTGAAAACACTTCATCATCAAGATGGGTGTGATCATCCATACCCTCCTGGCTGAATGTCTGAGTTGCATGGATCACTGTTGGTTCATCTTGACTAATATCCTGCAAACACTTGACATGTCCCTCTTTTTTGACAAGTTCCTCTTTCTTGACATGTTCCCCTTTCTTGACATGTCCATCTTCCATCGTCAGATCCTGGATATCCATACTTTTCCCCAATCCACTGTCGATACTTCTGCCCAATCCGCTTTCATCCATGCTTCTATTATCCCTACCTTTCTTCATTTCATCCGTATTATCCATACCGTTCTCCTCGCCTCCCTTGCCTCGTTGCTCTGTTCCGTAACATTTGAAGAATAAAACGGTTATCTCAATGAAACACATTTAAACAAATTGTATACATTTCCATCATAACCAGAGCTCGGGATTACCATATTGGTGTGATGTTAAATGTTGCCCTAATGACATGCCTATACTTGCCTGGCTCTTTGGCATTTTTAGCTCTTTATAGTTATTACAGAGAGCCAGTACCCTTTTATTTATATATATTAAATTATCAAAATTAACATCTAATTTTCAAGGGTATAATAAAAATTGTTGTTGTTATTGTTGCGTCCAAAACACTATGCCTATTTCAAAAATCTATCCTAGCCAGGCATCACAAAAACGAATACAACTTCATATCCCGGGTTGTGATCGTAGATATCAAAGACAAATACATTGTTTCTGTTGTTCATCAGTGTATGCGGCGAGTTCCAAAATGGGGCCGGGGTTGTTGAAGGGTGGATTAGCGCTAACCCTGAGTTTAACCTGCTGTTGAAGTTTATGTATTTCTGTACGTCTGTGTATTTCAAAACGTCAGAGAAGAAAACTCCTACTGATGCAGACAAGATTTCCAAAGCAATATTTCCAAATTTATGAACAAAAAAGCCCTTCAGGGTTTCATGAAGATTCCTAGCCCTAATCATTTCTTCTAATACGAAAATAGTTGTTTTGTTGGCAAATTATGGGCAAATAAAATTAAATAATAATAACTATTGGGACGTTTGCATTGAATTTTAGGTTAACGTAGGGTTAACCTAATTTGCTTTCGAACAACCGGCCCTGGGCCTGTTTCAGAAAGCAACAAGGGTTTTAATTAGCCATTCCGAAGTTGATGAGTGGACTGGGGACGAATGTTAAAAAGTGCCCAAATTAAGAAATGAACCAAATCACTAAAAGACCACCTCAAAATTAGTAAGTATACAAAGTTTGAAGACGTTTACATGAATACACTTCGAATAATAAGCTTTCGAAAATCGCGATATTTACTGTGAAATGTACTGTAATTTTTGTTTTGGGGGACGCGCGCCCGAAAAACAATCTTTTAATCAGTAATTTCACAATTTTCGAAAGCTTATTATTCGAAGCGTATTCATGTAAACGTCTTCAAACTATTATACTTACTAATTTTGAGGTGGTCTTTTTAGTGATTTGGTTCATTTCTTAATTTGGGCACTTTTTAACACTCGTCCTCAGCCCTCTCATCAACTTCGGAATTGCTAATTGCATACAAAACAATAGTAAAACAAACACGAGATTGCGGTGTACTACACCTCGGATGGCAGGGCGTTCCACCAAATTAGGTGGGTCTAAAGTTAGGATTACATTTCCATGGGTAATTCTTACCTATTTCTGTTTTGTTTTGGTCATTGTGCTTCCCGGCATCGTTGCTTCGTATGGATCTTGTTCGAACCGTGGATCTTTCATCTCCGGATACAACTTGAACAATTTCAGGCATTGAACTTTCTTTGACTTTTCCTGGTTTTCTATTGGTACCTTTATTACCCTTACTTGCACTGCCATCTGAATCGGACACTTTCCCAGTGTCAGATTCCTGAGCTTTCCCAGAAATCCTACTGGATCTCTGTTTCTTCTTTTCATCGGGTACAGCGGGATTTTTAATCTGGGTGTTATCGCCCTTGCCATCACTGCTTGAGGCGTCCTTCTTATTTGGGATTGGGATTGGCTTCTTGCTTTGCTTGTCTTTGCTTGAAGCAGGATCGTTGGGTTTTGATGACTCATCGCTCGATTCTCCTTTTTTCTTTCTTCGCCTTGGTGTCTGTAACAGAAAATTTCGTGGCACTATTGAATTTTTGCAGGCACATCGTAAGTCTGTCTTTTCAACACTATTTACGGCACAAAATAAGATATATTTTTGCAGAAACGGTTTGCAGATGCGATTTTTGCTTGTATGCACTACAAAAATTAAGGAATCCCCTCTGCATCGTGACAATTAACGTAAAAGCTGTAGTGCCAAGTAGTGACAATCCAGCGATCGGAATGTTCCATTGTCTTTTCATTGTTTTGAAAATCCAAGTTGTCGTCATGCCATCCAGTCCCTCGGTGTGGACGTTTGTACAAACAGCCTACCCTGATTTACGTCTATTTTGGTTTTGTGAATTATTGAATTTGAGAAGCATTTTTGGCATAGTAAAACAGCTTGATGTTTAGTAAACCTAAAGTCTAAGTTTGGACTTAATTTAACTGTTTTTAAACATGTTAATGTTATATAATGATAGTCTGCACTCAGACTCAAGATTGCCATTCAGTGATTCACTTTGGCAGCTTTACCTCATATTTTGATATTATTATAAATCAGTAAATTCAAAATACTCTTTAACTAATGGATGAGAATTCATGAGATTGTGTATTCTTTAAATATTTAGTTTGACTAGACTGTGAGCAATCACTGCACTAGTATACACTGTTCTTTCTTTTGGTCCCATTTCCTTTCTTCCTGTTTCTCCTTTCCTTATTCATCCTCTAGCTAACTTTCTTCACTTTCTTTCCTTGACACTTTTTACCCTCCATTTTTCTGCCCAGGGGTGGATTTATAGGGGGGTGCACAGTGGAGCGCACCCCTGTTGACCTTGGGGTGCAGAAAAATCAAATTCAGAAATATGGCATAATTTCCAAGGTTTTTCCTTTTTTCAAGTCAAACTGAAGCTCATAATTCAATGCCCATATCGCAGGAAATGACATTTCTAGGGTTCTAATTTTCAAAATTTTTCGGGGGGGGGCATGCCCCTGAACCGCCTAGGAAGCTTGCACCTTCGGCCCTTGAGTCGTTAGGAAGCCAATTCATTTGAATGCTGTCCCACCACCCCCTAAAGAATTATGAAGAAACTCTTGGTTGCTCACCCAGCACCCCCCCCCCTAGAAAAACCTTGCTGGATCCACCCGTTTCTGCCTACCTCAAATATTTTCTGGGACCAATGGTCCGCTATATTTTGCAGCCCTAAACAGCCACGTTGACATGCTTACGGTGATAACGATCAAATAGAAGTCCGACTTTAATAAAATGGTTTTGAACATACCGATAACGAAACAGTTTTGGAAAGCCCTTTGGCACGGCTTGAAATACGAACAGCATTGGATGTAACAGAAGCTTTTGGTGTTGAAGCAATAACATCTGGACTGGCAGGCATATCGGATGGATAATCTTTGGGAAACAGAAGGCTGGCAGGTGTAAGTGGACTATCTGTGCTTGTTAAGGAGGCATTTGGTAAAAGTTAAAACTAAGCTAACTTTGTTTATAGTGCATGGGCAGCTCTATTCGTTTTGTCTCAACTGTTGTTTCTTGAGTCCAGGTAAGGGTCATGGAGTAAATATAAACTGATGTATTCAGGTGTCAGTTAAGCAGAACACAGTCTATTGATCAAGCTAGAATCACTCGCGACCATGTTTTTCCATTTAAACTACAAGAACAAGTTAGAAACAACGCTGTCAATTTGAGATGGTTGTGACATTTCAGAGTAAGAGTTTCTTTCTTTGATGCTTAAAAGGGCATCTACAGCACTCGATCTAGCAGATGTATTTTTAAAATAACTCTATCCTAATATAACACGGCCGCTCATTCTGTATATATATTACAAAATCAGTGTCAACAGAACTGCAATGATTTACATGATTTCGGTGTTGTAGCAACACCCAGAAATTTAGAATGTACTTCTAATAGTAATACCTCATTTTTCTAGTTTTGGTGGACCACTGAAAAAGTCATAAAATAAGCCTTGCTTGGGGCTGTTGTAATTCAGTTGTGCCAAGCGGTAGTAAGTAGTACTCCTCAGGGCGTTATGATTTCGTAAGGCAGAGTACGCCAGTTCGCAGGTTGGGAATTGAAATTTGAGACTTCCAGTGCATCTTTATTACCGTTATGGGCGAAAAAAAGCGAGGAAATAAAAGGATATTCTTTTCGTCGTAAATAAATTTCACATATTTTTCGTCGCTCTGGTCAACAGATAACAACAAGGTACAGGCAGGTTTATTGAGCTGGACAAGTAAAATAGCTTCGTGGCTTTCTTTCTTCTCTGAAATAGAACAGAAAAATTGTGATATGATGAGGGAATGAGGGATGAATCCAAGTTGATCTGGTAGGAAGCAATCTTAGAGCCCTGGGCTAACTAGGAAACATTGTTGCGGAAACATTATTTCCTGCCAATGTTTCGCCATGTTTCCCAGAGTGGGCAAACACTAGAAAACATTAGTGAGAAACATAGGGAAACATCAAATGTTTCTGAATTTGCTAGGAAACATTTTTGCTTCTCGGGAAGCAAATTTTGTTTCCGCGATAATGTTTCCACGCGTGGGCAAACAGGGAAACATTTGTGGAAACATTGAGAATCACAAATGTTTCCACAACAATGTTTCCTAGTTTGCTCAGGACTTTAGAGCCCGCCCCTCTCCCCATTTCCATAACACAGTAAAAAGCATCTCTGACAAAATAATTATAATATTTATTATATAATTTACCTAATATTTGTGTTTGTAAAACGGCATCCTCCCTGATCGTAACAGTTTCCCAAACGTCGTTCTAAAACAAAAAGACTACAAATAAGAAAACTATAACGATAAACTACCTTTATTTATACCGTCAAAATAATGGTAGCTTCGCCAGTTTTGAAATGTTCTTCCTAACCTGCGTAGCAAGTTTTTGGGGGGAGAATTTGCAGACGGGAAAATTAGGCCGGGAGAACTGCGCGCGGGCGGAGACAAGGGCGGGCGTGCATCCAAATTACTGTCCACTTTTTATTGACTTCAGTAGCAGGCTCTATTTCAAGCATAGAGCCTGACATGCAGGCCACAATTCATCCCGACGCAGAATTGGTTCAAAAACTGTAATTGACTCTACCTCGTCATCAATGGCAAAAAATGAAATTGATTTGCTTCCCAGACTGAAGTCAGTCCAAAACATTCCATTATCGCCATCATCACTGGGGCAGTTCACCTTAAGAATAATTAGAAAAAAGAACATTATAAATGACAGAATAGTTAGCATATATTTTCAAACTAAATGTATTACCTTTTGCAAACCAAGGTACACTTCTTTGCAAAGAACGGAGTAAACACTATGAAAGAAAAGATATTAAATTCAGGAAAAACGATAGGCTACTGTACAACACCATCCTAACGCTTGTCGGGTTTGTCTAAAATAGATTGTGACCCGTTGTACGAAGCGTTCTTTGTAAGTTCATTTGCCAAAGAACACTAAAATACATATTACAGTGATTTTGATTGTCAACCCGTTTTTTTTCTTTCGTGTGATGATATATACCCATGAATCTATGATGTATATTATCATATAAGAGTACCTTGTGACCTTGTGAGTACCTGACGCTCACCCCACCCATGACTCTAACCCCCTTCACCCTAAATAATGGTAGGGTTTTGAGAAGAGGTATGGAGGTGTCCACCTCCCCTGAGATCTTTTTGCACCTCCCTAAGATCTTTTGCATCTCTCGTAAAAAGTCATGCACCTCCCCTTGGGAAAGGTCATTGATAAAGGAAAGTAAATATTTAACTCAAACTTAACGTTCGTGTTTGTTATTGAATTTGTATGTGTTACTTGGGGTCTATAACGTTGTAACAAATAAAATTGAAAAAGTGATAGCATTCATCTGCGTGTTAAATACCCTTTAATGCAATGTTTGAAAGAAATGTTGCGCTAATGTAATGACGAACAAAATAAATTGGATGAGTCATACAGTAATAATTCATAAATACATTGATACATATGTACAATATATAGAATATCCACCAAAACTGGCCTTGCCCTGACCACAACATCGCCCCCTGAACTCAACTGGGGGAAGGTTAACTATTCCAGCATCACTTAATTAGATGCAATCTTAATATGAACAGCTATAACATGATGAAAAAGTTTTATTCTTGGGAGCACAACCTGGAGACAAAAATTTCCTGCAGACCAACGGAGTATTGTTGTGATAAATCTGCATGTAGGTTTTAAATTCAAGGAATAATGTCTGTCAACCATATGTTGTTCAGTGGTGTAACTTTACTTTTTTGACCACTTGCTGCACTATATATAAAAAATATATCCGACAATGAAAACAAAAACTTAATAATGCCCACCTTTTTTGTGAAGGCAACTTGCCCAAATCGGGCAAGTTAGATAAAACGTTTACTTGCACGTCATGATATTTTCACTTGCCCTGGGAAAGCGGGCAAAGTGTTAAGTTACACCTCTGTTGTTCGCCCATAGTGGGACATGGGTGTTAAGGTTTCCTTCAAATTTTCAATAGAAAATCTTCATTCAAAGGAATTTCCTGCAGATGTTTAGCATTTCTCCTGCGAGCAGTGCTCGCCCATTTTTTCCACCCCTGTTGAGATTATTCACTATTATTTGATTGATCAAACGGTGGATTTGTACCTTCTGTTCTCAAGTTGCCTTTCGTTCATGTTATTCACAAACTTTCGGCAGTCCTAAAGTCCAACAAAATTGTCAAAGAAAAATAAATAAAACAGTTCAGAAACATTTTGAAGCATCCAATATTTTAACACACGATAGCTTTTACAAGCAAGTAGGCTAATCAATTTAATGTTGTTTGAAGAATGTGGGAGTACTTACTGTTTCAAATTCAACGTCTCTAATAGCGATAAAGTCATCGCGACATCCCGGGTATTGCTTAAACCACATTTGTGCATACAATTGTCTCATTTCACCAGGCAACATACGGCAAATCAGTTCAGCCATGCATAGCTGTAATTCAAGATCTAGAAAATAGAATTGGCCAGGGATGAATACAAACAGTTCTGCTGGGTGAAGAGGTCATATTCATCGAACTCGCGGTTTAGGGTGCGAACATTGACCAAGTGCGTATAATCACTAGAGGGGGGTACATCAGAAGGTCTGCAAATAGTTATTTTACTTGGAAGGACAAATTGGTCGGACATGCATTTATCAGTTTTTCCCGGACAATGGAAAAAGTAAAAATTTTCATATTTTGTTTTGAAAATTAGCACGATGTATTTAATTTTTTGCCTGGTCATGTTAGTCCACACAGCAATGCATCTAAAACTTAGTATATATCTAAGCTATCAGTCCTAATGCATCAGTAAATTATGGTTCAGGTTATACATAACTTTAATTTCTACCATGTATACGAAGGTGATGTAGATTGATAACTAAATCCTACGGCTTAATGCAGCAAAACATAGAGAGAAGTGCAGTCTATATTGCTTTCTTGTCGATTTCATTGATAAAAAATGGGTTAAATAAACAATTTTTTGAGATTGGAGATTTGACTAGCCTAAATCTGTCGATCACATGTCCGCGGTCATAAAAAGCTTTGATCGGACAAAAGGTAAAATTTGGCCGGATAATCTCCAATGATCGGCACTAATTTGCAGGCCTGCATCAGCCCTTACACTTGTCTGCAGTGTTGCTTGACAACGGATTTGACAGACCTGGAAATAATTCTAGCCTTTCTTGGATCCTAGCAATCAAAAAATTTTCTACAGGGCTTTCAAAATAAGCCGGCGGGTGCCACGAGGTTTATTAATTTGGATGGGTTACTTTCCTAGACCGTTCCCGGCAGCCATCTATACTATATCAACACAACCACCTATTCAGAATAATTCTGAAAGCCCTGTTTTCTAGGAACGTGATTCCCAGGATCCACGACTACAGTATTTCCAGGTCTAGGATTTGATAAGGAAATTGGCACCAGTCTCGCACCACTTTTGCTCAGGCTAGGAGGGGCGTTGCCCCCGCATCCCCTAGTAAATCCTGGTGGAATTAGCATAAAATTAGCCAATTTATAATTGGCTAAAAGTTCTGTGCAGTTTTTTTTACGGAAATTGAGACTGAAATGGACTGCATGGAAGTGAATGACTAGATATATGAAATTAATAAGGGATATATGGGTTTCGAATTCTGGGATCAGGGCCGTCGCGAGCGGGGGGGTGTGGGGGGGTGCTTCACCCCCCCAATAATTTTCGAAAGTCGGCCCCAGTCGGCAAATTGCTTCGTTACTGTTCGGCAAATTGCGAAATCGGCATTCAGCAAATTGTAAAAGTTAAGAACGAAGGCGATAAATA